ACTTTCTCCCTTACACGCTTCCCTTGGCTCACTCTGATCTTGCCACAGTGGCTTCCTGGCTGATTCTTAAACATGCCAGGTGCACTCCCACCTCAGGACCTTTGCTCTGCAGTTCCCTCTGCCTAGACTGTTCTTCTCCCAGGTATCTTCACGTCTTGCTCCTTGGCTTTCTTTAGAATTTTACTCAAATTCCAGGCCCTCTTTGACTGTTCTAGCTAAAATTTTAACTCACCTAACACTTTCTGTCCCCCTTTCCCTTTTTTTTTTTTCTCCTTAGGACTTACCATTACCAGGCATATTATACATTTTACTTATGTATCTTATTTACTATCCCTTTCTGCTGCTATAATAAAAAGCCCAAGGAGGGATTATTGTCTGTTCCATTCACTACTATATTCCCATATCCTAGAACAGTGTCTAATATGTAGTAAGTGCTCAGTAAATATCTGAGAGGCGAATAAATGAAAAAGAGGAAGAAAAGGCAATACGAAATCAGGATGGAGAAGATCCTGTGGTACCACAGGATCTTCTCCATCCTGATTTTGTATTGCCTAACTTACGTTAGGTATCTCTCCTTAGAATGGGAAGGGTGGGGATGACAGGGAGTCTGGGAGCTTGGTTGCCTTATTAGACTAACAAATGAAATCCTTGGAAGGCTGCTCTCCTACAGTGACCAAGAGATGGGTACTAGAGATGTACTGCATTTCATCTGGAAACCGTCCTCAGATTGCTTCTTTTTTCCTCACCAGCTAGTGGTGCTATCTTATCAGCAGGGATCTGTGTCAAAGCAAGAGGATCAGGAAAAATTACTCTTATGTGTGACTCAGGAGAGGGGGACGGGAATGGCGTGCCCCTACGAATTCATTCAGTTATTCATTGGACAATCCTTGATCGGAACTTACTGTGGACCCTGGAATGGGGCTGATTGCAGGGAATATGGAGATGAAAAAATGATAGTCCTTCTATTTACCAGACTTAAAATCTGGCCATGAAAACAGACATTTATAATAATGCAACACGGGAGGTGGTTTGTTTGTGGTAGAAGGTACTGTGGGAACACCCTGGAGGAAGCAACTAATTCTTCTGTTTAGGAGCTTCAGGAAGGATCAAAGGATGAGGAGGCTTTTCCTCTGGGTCATAAAGCATGATCAAGAGAGGAATGTTCTAGAGGCTTGGGAATGTAAGAAGTTCTCTGTGGCTGAAACCAGGGTATGTTTGGGAGTGAGGGAGAGGGACAATGGATACTAGAAGGCTGAGATAGGGGAGAGACGGCCGGGCAAGATCCTGCAGGGCAGGCCACTGAGCAGGGTGGAGCTCACCAGGAGCCTGAGGGCAGCTTGAAGACTGGACTGGGGTGGGAAGGAGAAAGCCAGAAAACACCTTGCCTGGTTCTCCCATCCCTGGCCTTCCTAAACTTTCTGTGCCACTCCCCACAGTCTGTTGTGAAGGCCTAGCTAGAATTGCAGTGCCTGGAGGAAGAAGTCTGGCCTCATGTTTCATGGAGCTCCAGATGGTCTAGACCTTTTCCTTCAGTCCCTTAAACTCAACTTCCTGTGAGGAAAGCCTTCTCTTCATTAGTAGCTCTAAAGGGGGAAAGGCTTAGGACATTTCAGACCCTTCTCTTCCTCTTGAGAAATCACCTGCTTGAGGAACTCTTCTCCACCCACTTCACCATGAAGGCATCCAGTGGGAACTTGGAAGGCCAGAGTGCAGGCCTTCCAGTGAGTGGGGGTCTCCTGCTTCCGCTTTCCAAGTGGGACATTCAAAGAAGAGCAGTTCAGTTGTCTTCATGAAGACAGCAGGGGTGCCAAATACAGCGACTTTCCTGTTTCCAAACTAGAAAATAATATTCTCTGTTTTCTGAAAGCCTCCTTTTTCTTAACTGTCCTTCACAAGAGTCGTTATTAGTTATTTTCCCTTTTTCTGTAGCTTTTTGTTTACATTATATTCCTGGTAGCTTTTCCAGTGCTGGAAACCTCGTAGGTGTCTTATAAACATTGGTGGAATGAGCAAAGAAATTCTTGTAGCGCCATTTTCTACTTTGGAAGTAAGTGTCTGTTTCCTCATCAAACTTCAAATTTCATCAGATTTCAGCAGCTCTCTGTGACTATGTGACTATATGTCATCACACCCTTGTCATTTTCAAGTTGTCCACCCCAGAGAGGAAATGCAGAATATTTTTTTTTCTCCTTAAGCCAAACATCAAAATCACTGCATATGTCTCAAGTATGGTCTAGTCAGTAAATCCAGATTTTGAAACAGGTTATCCAGGTATGGTTTAAGGATGATAGCATCACAGAAATGTTGTAGACCTTAGAATCCAAATGTGTTAAAAACGGGGCACCTGGGTGGCTCAGTCGGTTAAGTGTCCACCTTCGGCTCAGGTCATGATTTCACAGTTTGTGGGTTCGAGCCCCGCGTCGGGCTCTGTGCTGACAGCTCGGAGCCTGGAGCCCGCTTCGGATTCTGTGTATCCCTCTCCCTTTGCCCCTCCTCCACTCACTCTGTCTCTCTCTCTCTCAAAAAGGAATGAACATTAAAAAAAAATTTTTTTTAATGTATTTAAAAAAAAAAACCGAGTTTTTACTCATGATCTCTGTTCTTCCTCAGCTGCATAATTTTAGGCAATTTTACTGTTCTGCGCCTCTGTGTCTTGTGTGTAAAATGGACATAATACCTGTTTCAAAAGGTGAATGTGAGTATCAGATGAGAAACGCGGGTAGAACTTAGCTTTGTGCTTGATGAAGAACAATCTTTCTTGGTCAGTTTCCATTCTTACTGGAGACAGATCGCTTTTCCTCACCACTGTCTGCTCTTCCCATCTGTAATGATACTGCCCTGTTCTTTATGATTTGGGGGTACAACTATACCAATCACAATTTTCATACTGTTAGAGACACTATTATTTTAGTGGTGCTTTTGAGACTTGTGTCCTATTTCTGTGTGAAAACAAAGTGAATTAGCTTCTTCTAATAATGAGGAGGAAAAATTGAGGTAATTCACAAAATGAGCTTCATCCTTACCTTGTAAGACTAATTCCTCCCTTAAAAAAACATCTGAAGGTCAGAATTTCAAAAGCTGGACACAAATGGGGCGCCTAGGTGGCTCAGTTGGTTAAGTGTCCGACTCCTGATTTAGGCTCAGGTCAGGATCTCACAGTCATGAGATTGGCTGATCTCATGTGTGGAGCCTGCTTAAGATTCTCTCTCTCTCTCTCTCTCTCTCTCTCTCTCTCTCTCTCTCTTTCTCTCATTCTCTCTCCTTGCTTCTCCCCTGCTTATGTGTACGTGCACAAAAAGAAAAAAACTAAAAAAAATTTTTTTCTCTCAAAAAATTTAGTAAAAAAAATGGAACATATAATTGATAACATTTTCTCCTGAATCCCCAAATCAATATTCTTTGTGCCAAAAGAAAACCCAGAGTTAATCCAGTAGTTCACATGAATTATCATAGAATGGCTAAACAAGCTGTCCTTTAGGCATCTCTCAACAATTTCATGGATATAATGAAATAAAGGAGTATTGCTTACCAAAAAAAGCTTACATGGGATGCTGTTTTTCTTCCTTTAAAAAAAATTT